AGAAAGAGAGTAGATCGAGTTCCTAGTAAAACTATAAATAGTTACTAAAAATTTTCTGGCAAAAAAGAAATGCTCGATTTTTAAAAGCAAAATTTTTTTACAATTGTTTGTTTTCCGGAGCACTTGCAGCCAGACAAAAAGAATGCTTACTCAGACAGAGATAAGACACACTTATTGAGTTTTTAGGTTTAGTGACCCACTGAAGAATAGAAAAAAAAGTAGAAAGAGCGAAGAGAATCTCAGCACTCGAACGGCGTAAATCAATCGATTTTTTAGCAGGAAAAAGCAAAAAGATTGCCAAGAAAAGATAGGCAAACAAAAGTGGAAAAAGGGAACTGCCAAAAGAAAGGGGACAAAGTGTGAATGCGCAGCAGAGTTGTTCTAGAAATTTGCAAACCGTACTTACTAACACATGCAAAGTTTCACTCAAAAAGACAAAAAGGATCGATTTCAAGGAATGCCAGTGAAAAGGGCAAAACAGACGAGCAGGCGAACAAATTAAATTAGATGAAAAATAGATTTTCAATTGAATTTTGCGTTTGTGTTCTGGCGCATTTACTTGTGAAAAAAAGCAAGCTAGCCAGCAAGTTTTGAAAACCTGAAATGCAAAGCAGAAAGGAAATAACGGGAGTGGGGATGAGTGTAGATCAAAAGATCAAAAGTGCGAAAAAGAAAAAAAGCAATGAATAAATAAGTTAGAAGTGAATGAAAAAAACCGTTTGTTTTTTCTCCAATAAAAATATGCTTTTTCATTTTCTCTTTTTCTCAGGTCGAGCCTTGTTGCTGGATGACATACACGTGCCACCGAGAGACGCAGCAAACGCTGGCAATTTTGGACACCTTAGACATGGACGCAGCCAGCATGACTGAAGAAGAGCTGGCAAAGAAGTTCGGTTTTGAGGAATCGTACCGCAGCGGAAAGCTCACCACGTGGCAACGGCTCAAGCCAAAGATATGGCTACTTTTCGATGAGCCGTACAGCTCAAATGCTGCAAAGGTAGGTGCTTGGTCAATGAGGAAAATAAAATGTTATTTGTGGTCAGTACTGTGTGTGAGGGAAACACAGGTAACGGGAACAGAGTAGTGAAAGAGATTAATGACAGAGGCAGCACTGAACGGAGTGATCATGACCATCGGAAATGAACAGTCGCACAAGCGAACATTTCCTGAGCTACCAAGTTTTGGCTTGCCACCAAAAGCTTTCATTTGCTAGTTGTTGTTGTTGTTGTTTTTGTTACTACTGCTGTTGATGTTGATGTTGCCAATTGCTGACACCTTTTGGTAAATTATGTATTGATGGTGACGGTGGCAGTAGCACGGAGCATGGTAAGCTTAGCGTGCAATTTACAATAAATTAACAATGAGATTGTGTCTAGTCAGATGAGGGGCGGTGGTGGTAGTGGTGGTAAGGTTGGACGTCCTAAATAGTGTAGGGAGGACAGAAAGAGAGCAAGTGAGACATTTCTGATTAATCGCTTCCACTTGATGTACACTGAAGAATGCAGCCAAAGCACTGAACACAGCAAAAAACTTTTCAATGGCAGCGGCCTACCGCAGAGAAAGTTAAAAGATAAAGAGAAGAGAAAATGGGGAAGGGCTAAAAACGTAGATATGTAAATCAAGTCAAAAAAATTTAAAAACTAAAAGTTTTTGTTGAACCGCCGCTATTGTGGCTAAAACTGAAGTGGCAACTGACAAGAAAGATTACTTCTGCTTGGATTCCGTTTTCAAATTAGAAAAGGACAAAAGTGGTAAAATTACTTGCAGCAGAAGTAGCTTCTGTTAATGTTAAAAAAGTTAAAAGGTAACCCCAAGTAGCACAAATAATGTTTAAAGTAGTGATCAATGAAAAAAATATAAAAAAGACAAATAGAGAGGAACAAAAGAAACACAGAAGAATTAAAAAGATATAAATCAGTGAGTCTATGACAATCGAATAGTTGCTAAAAGCGCGGTTCGCCACTCTCAATTGCAGCACAGAATGAGAGAACTTTTTTCCATCAATTCAAGCCAGAAAGAGAGAAAAAATCCATTTGCTGGCAATAAGCAGGCAGCAATTTTCCAAATCATTGGCATTTGAAATCCTCGCCGTCGTCATTGTCGTTTCACTGCGCCAGCAATAATATATCACCACCTCTTTTGAGCATTCCTCTGAGTGTTCTCCATCCCTTTTATCTATTTGTCCGAAAAATTACAAACTAATCCCAACTCAAACCCAAACGCCAACACTCCCATTGGTAACTTTAAAACAAAGTTATAATTTGCCGGGTAGTTTATATTTATATTATTGATTTTGTTTTTTGCGTTAAATTTATATCACGAAAATAAGTTGAAATAGAAATTTCAAAATTGCTAGCTCAAAATTAAAAATGTGACCATAAAAAGTTTGAAAAGCTTAATAAATTATTTTTTTGTTGACAATAAGTCAGAATAAAAGTTTATGTTGATGTAGGGCATAGATTAGTTAGTGGCATCAGTAGATATTTACAACGATAGCACATTGACAACTTTCTTTTTACTCAAATAAATAAATTAATCTAAACATTTTTTAGTTGGTCACATTTTTAATTAAAAGCAACCAACACAGTTGCTGAAAAAACGTTTCAAAGGTTAGTTGACAACCAAAAGCGAAGATAACAGAAAGAGCTACAAACTAACATTTTTAATGTTAATACTAAAACAAAAACTAAAAGAAAACAAGGGTATCCAAAATGAAAAGAATATCTGCAACAAAAAACTTGGATAAAAATCGATCAGTCAATCAAGAATAGCAGCCGCAGCAACGACGGTTTTCTGGCGTTGGCCAGGAGAAGCAGGACAGGACAAAATTTTGTTGGTATTTTAGGCGAGCAAACATTAATTAAACGGACAAGATAGGAAAAAGAAAGAACAGAGACAGACATTTGCACCCAGCGACCGCACAGCATTTCCATCCAATGGTAGTGCTGGTGGTAATTGTGACCAGCGGTGTTTCAGTACAGCACAACTAACAACTAACTAACAATGACACACTAATCATTCATTGATTGCCGCCCCTACCACCACCATCAGACATTAATCGACCAATGTGTCCGATTGTCTTTGTGATGATGAGAAAAATGAGGAGGAGAAGGAGGAAAGGATACTAGACAACAGACACATTCATGCTCATCATCACAGCACATTGTGACAGAAAACAAAAAACTCGAAAACGGTTTTTAGTTTTTTGTTGCAAAATTCTAGCTATGAATGAGTGCGAGATAAAATTATAAATAAATGAAATCAACGTGCAAAATACAAACAAACTGATCACTAAATTGAGTAGCAATGATAAAACAAAAACAAGTTTTTAAAAAAATAGTAATTGTTTAGCGCATTTATCTAGGCAAACGTATCATTGAAAAATAATCAAACTAGAAAATACAAAGTAAAAAGTGACTAAATAATTTTTTGTTTCATTTTCCATCATTTTTTTGAATTAAGTTTTTATTGTTTAACAGAGGAATTCACATTTAACAACAGTTTTTGGTTTGCTAGACATTGATATCGACCAGTTTGATAAAAAAAGTTGAGCAAAGATAGAAATTAAATGATTTGGAAAACGGTTTGAAAAGCTTTACTGATAAAGTTTAGAATAAACAAAAACACTTTAAAGCTTTTTTTGTTTTTTTCTGCTAAACTGTTTGGACGCTCATTTTGCGTCTTTCAAACTGGTCCTTTTCTCCATTAGTGTGTTTGCCCAGTTTTAGATTCAGGCTCAACCAGCACAAGGCGCAAAAATAATAATACCCAGAAAAGTCTGATCATTAAGAAAACCGAGTGAATGTAAATGCCGACCTAACATTAGACAAAACACAAGTACTACTGAATCAGTAAAAAGGCAATCAGTTAGGTGTGCTTGGTGCACCTAAAGAGAATGAAGTGAGATTTGCAAAGCAATCAGGCTCAAAACTGACCTGCCGTCACTGCCGCTTATCAAAAATTTATCATCACATCAGTCAATGTCCACCAAGATTGAGAAAAAAGTGGTGGAAAATGTTGCTCTAAATGGCAGAATCTGTTGGTAAGAATGAATCTTTTTTCAAACATCAGTCACGATGCTTTCCACAACTCCGATTCAACTCGGACAGTAAATCTCTTGATGAAAATTGAATCCACTTTTGGCCAGAATAGGATTTCAGCAAAAGGAAATATTCTAGAGAAAAGGTGTAGTTGCAATTGCCTTTTCTTCCGCTTTCATTGCATTACATCTAAATAATTGATAAGTTTATGGCAAAATAAGCTTTCTCTTTTTTCACACTGCATACTGCTGAGTGACTGAAAAACTCATTCTTTTTCTCATCCTCCTTCTTCTCCAGCCCGCACACTCAAGCCAATCAACTCCAGCAAATGCAATTTGCCCGGCAGTTTAACTGCCAGTTCACCTTTGTGGCAAGACACATACAAAGCCAATTTGACCAGAAAAACTAGTGTAGTATTAAGCAGCAGAAGTAACATAAAAAACACCAAATTGCATTAAAAATTAAAAATTCATTTTCACATCTTCTGTTGGCGGAGAGTGACAGAGAGAGCCCAGCTGCTTAATTACACAATTGCTGCACTTTAGCAGCAAAGTACTGCCTGAAAACTAGTGCAGCTAAAGTCTACTACTCTGCTAGTCAATTTACTTATCAGTTTTTGTCAAATAGAGTTTGCACAAGCTGAGCTCAAAAAGAGGGAGAAAAAAAGCAAACACCGAGGAGCGATCAAAGTGACTGACTGACGCTAATGACAATATCGAAGCTACTGATCACAACGACAGCAGTGAAAAGCAGGCAATTTAATTGCAAATTCGTGTTTCAAACTGCAATTAAAGTGACACACACATGCAACGTGTACGTCAACGACGGAGAAGTAGAGTGTTAATGCAAAACTTTAAAAAAAGAAGAGGAAAAAAAGTGGAATAAGTTTTACATCAGGTGAAAACTTGTTGTTGTTGTTTAGAGAAAAGAAGGCAAGCGCCAGAACACAGTCAGTGCATGTTTCACACACTTGCTTCAAACTTTCTAATGAGCGATGGAAACAATTTCAGTACATCAGCTCTCTTACGCTTGAAGAGAACATCCCATCCCATCCCATCCCTTGAGTGCACTTAACTTTTCTTTTTTGCTTCAGACGGGACACTTTTTTCACAGTCAGGCAAAGCAGTGCAGTCAAGTTGATATTGAAAGGTGATCACCGTGGTAGTGCCAGTTTCACAGTGCTGATACTACTGCTGTTTTTTCATTGCTGCCGCTCAATCAATTTGAAGTTTGAGTTTCTTTCAAAACAACTTCGCCTTGAAAGAAAGAAAGCTTTTAAGGTAATAGATTGAATAACTAAAAAACAGAAATGTCAACAGCTTGTCCTATCCTCTGTCATCAGCATGCAAACGAAATCAGGTAGTTGCATATTTTGATTTTCTAAAACTAATGAACTGATTTAGCCAGTCAGATGAGAATGCAAAGCAACAACAACAAAAAATGTGTAAAGTGAGTGCAATTACTGAATTGCTTCATTCTCCTTTTTATTTACTTTTTCTTTTTTCTTTTTAGCTTCACAATCAAATTATCAAAATACACAGGTGCAGGAGTAGTAGTGGTGCAGTAGAGGAAAAATGATACACACTGCTACCTGCTATCTAATTTAATTTATGAGTCAGTAGGGAAAGATTGGGTAATGAGAGGTAGTTTGCAAAGCTGCAGATCACTGGAGTTTCAATTCCTAAGAGGGTTCAAACAGGAAAAAGAGACGAGTCTACCAGCAAAATCGTCTCACAAGTGGGAAAATCCCACAGTTCATTGCTTCTGAACAAAAACAGCAAACAGCTGAGATGACCTTTAGGATGAACATAAAAGATGCAACCACCACAGTGGTATCCCCTTACCAATTAGCACTGATTACTACTACTTTTGTCTCTTTTTGTATCTTGTATAGGGTGTGGCCATCATATCAGTCTTCTTCATCGTCGTCTCCATCTTCAGCTTCTGCATCAAGACGCATCCTGACATGCGAGTGCCCGTCATCTACAATCGCACCTCCATTCGCCTGCCCTCGCCTTCAACCGGCGGCGGTGCCGGTGGTGCCGGCAGTTTGCTCTCCTCCCTCTACCGGTGGCCTTATCTGGCGGAGTTGCTGAGAAGTGGCGGTGGTGGCGGCGGTGGTGCCTCCACAAATACAGGAACTTCCACCAACAACAGTGCCCTGCTGGCCAGTCTCGCCAATCTCAGCCACTCTGTGCTCAATAATGTTTCGGCTTCTTCTTCTGCTTCCGCTTCTGCTTCTGGCTCAGCTGCTGTTCTGCCCAGTGGCTCACGTTACTCCTCTTCGGTTTCCTCTCTTTCACGCGTTGCCTCCACTCATCCTCACCACTTGCCTACTTCTCATCACCATTCCTATGGTAAGTGTGTGCAGAAAAATGTTTTAAAAAGTTTATACAACAAAAAAATGTGTTACCCAGAAATGCCTGTCACCTTTGACGACGTCACCTGGACCTTGGACAAGCACAAAACGGACGCCCATGATGCCTTCTTCTACATTGAGGCCATCTGTAATGCCTGGTTCAGCTTCGAGATTGCCACTCGATTTCTCGTAAGTGTTCAAGAGACTGCTGCTGCTGGTGTTTTCAATTCATTCAGAACAAACTAGCTAGTTAAGTTTTCCTTCTTTACCTCTTTCAAATATTTTAATGCAAGCACAAAAAACATGCAAACTAGAGAAAATGCCGCCAAGCAGTTGTGAATGAAAGAGAGAAAAGGGGAAGAACAGGCAATAAAAGAGGAAACGAAAGCGTTAGCTATTGTCGGTAGCTGACTTCCTTTCTCTCTGTTTTCCTCTGCAAACCAATTAATTTCGACTGAATTTATACGCGTCTTCTAGTTTAAATTGAAAAGTAGGAGGCAAAAGAAAAAAATAAAAATGTCTGTTTTGCTGCTGCTGCTGCTGTTGCTGGTTAACAGGGCAACGAAAAGATTAATAACCTGGGAATAGTCGTTTACTCGGAACTACACAAAGAATGAAATTGCAGATGAGCAGAGCAGAAAGATGAGCTAGCTGAAACGATGGCGGCGTAAGATGTCAGTAGCACAAAGCAGTTTGCCTGTGCACATTTTTTTTCTTTTTGCGCAAAAGCAAGCAAACAAAAAAGCTTGGAGATGAAGGTGCCTCTACGCACCACAGATTGAAGTTGCAGCAGCAGCAGTAGAGGCCTAAAAACGATCAGCAGAAATTTAAAACGGACTAAAACTGTGAAGTCAGAAAAAAAGAAGAAAAGTCTATAGAGAGTGCAGACAAAAACCACGGGAAATGATTTATGAGTATCGATTAAGAAGGTGGCGGAAGGGGAGAAAAAACGGAAAACGAGGTACCTTGAGATAAGCAAATGAAGCACCAAACTTAGTTTTAATAGTATTAGGGTAATACAGGGTGAACAGAGTGTACTTCCAAAGAAAAGTGATGCAAACACTGCTAATAAGTGAAAGGAAAGAAAGGAGGGGGTCAACACTGAATTGTCACTTGCAGCAGCAGCAGCNATGAGTATCGATTAAGAAGGTGGCGGAAGGGGAGAAAAAACGGAAAACGAGGTACCTTGAGATAAGCAAATGAAGCAGCAAACTTATTTTTAATAGTATTAGGGTAATACAGGGTGAGCAGAGTGTACTTCCAAAGAAAAGTGATGCAAACACTGCTAATAAGTGAAAGGAAAGAAAGGAGGGGGTCAACACTGAATTGTCACTTGCAGCAGCAGCAGCNACCAAACTTAGTTTTAATAGTATTAGGGTAATACAGGGTGAACAGAGTGTACTTCCAAAGAAAAGTGATGCAAACACTGCTAATAAGTGAAAGGAAAGAAAGGAGGGGGTCAACACTGAATTGTCACTTGCAGCAGCAGCAGCCACAACAAACCCTTTGGTTATTTTCAAATTAAATAATGTCCCAAAGTTAAACTCAATATCAAAAGAGGAAAAATGTGGTTCAGCTCAGAGCGACTACTGGTGATGACTGCAAAATAAATTAAAACTGACACGACAATCAATCAAGTGCCCACAGTTTGCCCGTACCCAAAAGGGAAAAAGAATAGACTGGTGTGTAAATGTGTGTTTAATGTTAGTCGATGATCTGGTACCGTCATCGATGGACCGGTCGGTACTCATCAATTGTGCCGGGCAATTCATCACTGCTCCGGTGAAGGACAGCAAAAGAAAATGGGAATCGAAAAAGATAGTATTGATCAAAATAACAAAAAAGTGTTNCAAAAGGGAAAAAGAATAGACTGGTGTGTAAATGTGTGTTTAATGTTAGTCGATGATCTGGTACCGTCATCGATGGACCGGTCGGTACTCATCAATTGTGCCGGGCAATTCATCACTGCTCCGGTGAAGGACAGCAAAAGAAAATGGGAATCGAAAAAGATAGTATTGATCAAAATAACAAAAAAGTGTATTCAGTTTTGCAGCAGGAAAGAGCGCATTCATTAGTAGCTGTCACCGGGAAAGATGGTCGGAAGTAAAAGTAAGGATGGGGTAGTTAGTAAGTTAGTTAGCAGAAATGAGTCGAAACGCACTTGATTATTTGAGCCTAAAACTGCTTCCGTAGAAGTGCTCGCCACCAAAGTTTAGCTGTCACCGAAGCGAGTCTGTGCCTCAGTCTGTGTGCTATTAAAGTGTCACAGTGCAGTTCATAATTAATCGAATTAAGACTAGCACACGTGAGAAGTTGAAGATGACGGAAGGACAGGCTACTGTTCACTGTTCACTCGAGCAAAAGTAAAAGTAGGGTTCGGAGTTTTCCGAGAATCGTGCCGTCAGGCTTTGGGAAAAACTAGCCGACTTGGTAGCTATTTGCTGGTTTGCAGGGCAGCCAAATCATTTAGAGCAAAAGTAGAAGAAGAAAAGAAAAGAAGCAGTCGAGTGGTCGCACTTTTTCATCTTTTGTTTGTCTATTCATTTCTGGCTGGTCATTCATCATCAGCCACTATTCTCCTGATTAGAGTAGACTTGCAAACAAATAATTAAATGGCAGTGGCACTGCTTCTACTATTATTATATGATTTAGTTACATTTGGATACCAGTTGTACATTTCCTGTCAGACTTTACTGACAAACGCCAATTTAATGTTATTTTCAGAAATTAAAATTGGAAAACAAAATCGTTTTTGATAGTTTGACCTCTAAAGAACTACATATGAGCTAACGTTAGAAAACACAGCAAAACGATTGCAGTTGTGCGTCATTCCGTCAAATCTAGGAATCAGCAAGTTTGCTGCTGCTGTTGCTGACGACGTCCACCAGTTAATTCAATATTTATAGCGCGCGCATAATTGCCGCTTGTAAAAACAGTACGACAGTCGTACAAGAACACACTCACTCACACATGCTCCAGTTCTTTGGCCCTACACTGTCTGCGAGAACAATGCACTTGACATTACATGGGCAAAATGGGAGTGAGAGAGAGAAAGAAAAAACATTGACAAACCATCTCAATAACAACAGAAAGGAAAAAACAAAATTTTCAGCAAACAAAACAGCAAANGTGCCCTACACTGTCTGCGAGAACAATGCACTTGACATTACATGGGCAAAAACGGGGAGTGAGTGAGAAAGAAAAAAAGAGAGAAAAACATTGACAAACCATCTCAATAACAACAGAAAGGAAAAAGCAAAATTTTCAGCAAACAAAACAGCAAAGTGTAGCCCTAAATCATTCATCAGAAGGCGGCAACGGCAGAAGAGAGAAAATGGTGAAGGTGCATTGAATACCAATACAGAGCTTCACTGACTGACCAGAGCTGACCAACCGTTGGTGGTGGCAGTGGCTGGCTTGTCTGCCTCACGCTGCCATGCCTCACTGGTCGTTATTAGGCGTCGGATTGGAATAAATCGGATAATGAACGCGTTCAATCATTCTCCAGGCAGCCACTGCATTCGCCTGCTAGCTGGTTGGGAGCCAGTGAAGTGTCACAGACAGACAAACACACAGACTACACAGACATTCACGAGTGGGAGGGAGGCAGACAAAAACCAGCATAACAATGGCTGCTGCAGCAGTCAGCCAGTGAACAGTACGTGTTACGGCGAGGTATCACGTTTCAGACAGTGCCAAACAACGAGAATACATAATGGCAGACTACTGGAAGGAGAGGAGGAGAAAAAAGAAGGGAAATACTAGTAAAGTTTGAGAGTTTTGCTTTAGACAGGGCAGACTGCCACAGCTGAGACCCGAGTTCTGCCAGTGAAAGTGACTTGAAGTGAGGTGAACAGCAGCAACAGCTGCATCAGTAAGACAAAGCAACTTAGTAACTAGCAATTTAGGTGCAGTGCACTAAAATGCAAATTAGCAGTTGGACGAGGAAATGAGAGAGAACTTTTAGAGTGGATATCGACTAAAGAAGAGAAAGAAAGTGAAAAAATATTCGTTTTCTTTTCTTCTTTCTTACCCTGAATGAAGCGAGAACCAAACTGGGCAAAGCAAAGGTGCAGTGCTAAAGTGTAAATAAACTCTTCGGGCAAATCGGAAATTGGCTATTGAGAGCAGGGGAGCGGTGAGAAAGCAGTGAAGGGAGAGAAAGGCAAACTAATCAGCAATTCTGTTCACGGGTAATGGTGGCAAGGGTAGTGAAAAGAAAGCAAAAACCAAAGAGAGAGAGAGAGGGAGAGTTTGGCCGCCTCATTTTCTCTTTACCGTACACCGACAAACCGTCGGTAGAACAGAGCAGAACAGGACAAAACTGAACCGACAAGTAGTAGAGGGCACTGAAACAGTACCGAAAAGTGGTGGAGGTATAAAAGGCCGAGTCAGACACCGACTAACTGTTCATTACCGATTGTCCACCGACCGACTGACTGACTGTGTTGTGCTCTGCAGGTAGCGCCAAACAAGCTGGACTTTACGCGCGACGCCATCAACGTGATCGACGCCGTGGCCACGCTGTCCTTCTACTCTGACCTCATCCTTCAGTCGCTGGCCGCCAGTGCGCAGCTCTCCAACGCCGACATTCTCGACTTCTTCAGCATCATTCGCATCCTTCGGCTCTTCAAGCTGACACGCCACTCGAGGGGGCTGAAGATTCTGGTGCACACTTTCAGGGCGAGCGCCAAGGAGCTTTTTCTTCTCGTTTTCTTTCTCGTGCTGGGCATCGTCATCTTTGCCAGTCTCGTCTACTACGCTGAGCGGTTGCAGGCAAATCCGCGCAATGACTTCAAGTCGATTCCCGAGGGGTTGTGGTTAGTGTGGGAACGTGATTTTCTCTGAAAAGCAGCAAACTTTCTAACAAACTCCTCTTCTTCTTTTCACCACCAGGTGGGCCATCGTCACCATGACCACAGTTGGATATGGTAAGTGACACTGTCCTAGCTATAACAAAGTTTAGAGTTCAAGTAGGCAAAACAAAAACAAAAACCGAATACGTTGAAGTGGGTTACCCGCTGCGGCTGTTATCAGCAATTGTTCAGCAGCAGAAGCAGCAACAGAAACAGTTGAACAATGGCAAAAGTGTAGCCACTATTTATCGTCTTAGACCATTGACAATCACTTTCGCAAATGACCCTTCCATTAGCTGGAATG